CCACTAGACCACAGAGGCGGTCTCGGATGGGACTAAGCTCTCGAAAAAGGCCGCGCCATAGTTCAAGCGGTTAGTCTCTGACTTCCCACCGGGGTGGCCTGGGTTTGATCCCGGGTCTGGTCAAGTGGGTGTTGTGGTGGACAAAGTGGCGCTGGGGCAGATTTTCTCCGAGAACTTCGGTTTCCCCTGCCAATCTTCATACCACCAATTGCTCCACAATCACCCTCCTCTATCATCTGAGGCTGGTACCATAGGTCAGAAGTGGCCGCAGTACAAGGGACTTAGTACCAAGCCACTAGCAAAAAAAAAAGAAATCGAAATCAGCAATTAAATTCATTCACAGAAAATTCAGTTGCACAAAAAGGTCTCTAAATTTTCAGCAAAAGTGACTGAGTAATACAGCACGAATAGTGACAGGGGATCCTCAAGGTTCCGTCAATGCCCAATATTGTACAGTCGACTCGTATATATACCCTGACGAAATACTACAACTAAGCGTATGAGGCATCCTCTTTGGAAATAATATAATATACCTTGGTGTTACTATCGACAGGAGGATGACATGGAGACACCATTTCGAAAGGATTGCAGCCAAGGTGTTTCGCATGTATGTAAGGACCTCTTGTCTATTAGAAATTGGGTGTTTAAGAACAAGTATTAAATTTACCTTTCTACATAGCTCTGATTAGGTCAGCTATGACTTATGCCTGTTCCACCTGGGAGCACGTGGCGAACGCTCACCTCTTGAAATTGCAGCGCCTGCAGAACAGAGTACTCCGCGCTGTTGGAAATCCTGACAGGTTCACAGCAGTCCACGAATCGCAGGTGGCTTCAAAATTCCTTATGTGTACGATTATATAACTAAATTATGCAGGACACAGGCAGAAGTAATCCTAAACCATGTAAATCCAAATGTACGTGGCGCTGGACAAGGAGAAGCGACGCATAGGAAGTATAAGAGGCTTAAACTTGGCAGCGGTCAGGCCTACAACCGTTAAGCTGACTAGCTACAACTTCAGAGTAGTTAAATAAATTAAAGCATAACCTGTTGTACAAGCCTTCATTGACAGGTAACTTCTGTATATTCTTCATAAATGTTACTCAATATGGGGCAGTGACACAGGATGCACAGAGCCAATAGTGACCTGGACGCAGTGACAGCACAGACATGCTCGTGCTGCAACTATGGCTTAACAAACCTAGCTCTTACTCAGAAAGACCGCCCCCTATCTCGTCGAAGATGATGACCCATTTCGAAACACGTACATATCCAGGAGACAACAAAAATATTGGTCGTAGATCTCGAGGAGACTGCAGCCAGGAACTACTATGCTGGCGAAGGCCAGCAGTAATTTAACCGATGGAACGAAGGATAAAGTACTGATAGATCCGCTCTCTCGTCAGAGTGGGCGCCCCACATCAACAAAGCCGTAACAGTCTTACGATAAGGAATTTCTGGTCTTGGGCTTCAAATGGGGCTTGACACCAAGACTGACTTGCTGATAGTCGATAGTAACGTGACTTTGACTCAAAGCATTAATTAGAACGCAATGACTAATGCTTGTCTCGCCTGGAAATTTGTAGCAGACACCGCCTCTTAAAATGTCAGCAACTGCAAAACAAATCTCTCAGCATCACTGGAAATTTTCCAAGATGCACACCGGTCTGCGACATACACAAGGTTTCCAAACTTCCGTGTTTATATGGTTATATAACAAAATTATGCAGGCAACAAACAAGACGTCATACAAAATCATGAGAATGAAATGTTCGCAGCATAGCACAAGGAGAAGCCAGACACAGAAGGTATAAGAGGCTTAAACCAGGAGACTGTCAAGCTTACGGCCGTTCAATAGACTAAGCTGCCGTTGTAGCGTAAGAAAAATGAGATAGGCATGATCAGCTTTGCATAGCCAGGACTGACAGAGTGCTTTTATATATTGTAAAGGGAAGAATTTTCAGTATCATGCTGTTTGTGCGACGACAAAGGTGAGGCATATTCATAAGAGACAAATCCACCCGCTCAGCTGAGAAGACGTTACACAAGAACTACGGCCGGAAGGGTTCAGTTGCAAAAAAATAGACTCATGACCCGAAGGAGTTTGACGCCAAGATGAACTGATTGGCCGGAAACCGCCAGTCGTAAAGTAGATCTTTCTCTTTCTGAAGTTAGTTGAGGGTCGACAGTTGAAGTAGTGAGTTTGCTGTGGGAAGGTGAATACGAAAGCGGAGAAATTTACAGTGTTGGGAACCGTAATCGAGCAACGACTAGTAGAGCTAAACTGAGAAGTGTTAGTATGTGCTATAGTGATAAGTCGGATGCGTGGATTATCAAGAGCTTTATAATTACTTGTAATTATGAATTATAAGAATTCAGTATATTCATTTAACAACACAAAACTCGTGTCTAGTCGCTAACACGTGACACTATTTTTGTCAACGGAATTATATATACATTGTGTTTATATAATTATAATAAAACAAAAATTGTTACAATCTTTAAGTTCTTGTCTAGGATTAGTGATTAATATAACACTGAAATGTACATCATTGTAACAAAAGAAAGACACTTCTTAGAAAAAGAAATGCTTTGTTTTCGTTGTTGTGGACTGAGAAATTTTAGAGAATTATTAGTGGAATGGAAAATGTTGGAAATCACTGATTTATACGACACTTCATATTATTATTCCTTGGACAGTACCTCGGCCCATCGCATGGCCACTACGTACAAAAGACACAACAAAACAGAAAAACATAAACATACAACCATACATACTCTGAGAGAAATTCGAATTCAGTATCTGATTGTTATAGCAATAGAAGACAACGCTTGTTTTGTACTCCGCGGCCTCTGTGATCGGCCAATTAGGTAATATCATCAGCCAAGCAGTTGATGTAGTTGAAAAGCTTCGTGTTTATTGGAGACTTACTCAGTTTCAATCTTTATCTGGTTATACATTATTTTTAATGCTGTTGCTTTCCTTAATCTTTCCATGAGAATGCTCGGATATTAAGCCTAACGTAAACCTCATCCACCTGCTTCCCTTCGTTTGATTGCATTTCAGACCTGTTTATTGTGACTTCAACAGAATCGTAATAATTTATCTCGTTTGGATAAAGCGTTCAGAGCAAAGAGTAAATTTAATCTCCGTTCCCATTGTTGAGTTGTATTCTTTAGCATATTTTCTGAAGTCATTTTCTTCTCTTTTATCCTCTGAAAGTAGATCTCATAATAGAGCCGTCAGTGGCTCCTCCATCTAAGTTCCCGCCAGCTCCTTGCAACTGTCGAGGAACCGATATATTCCTAAGCTTTATATATGCGGATATATAATCTTAAACAAAATGTAGACCTATGTTACTCTAATTCGTTTCTCACTCACTACGAACTAAGCTTTTTGCTAATACCGGTGCAGTCGAATATCCTCACATCCTCAAATGGCCCTTTCACTCTTCGCATAAATTACTGTTTGCTTGCAAAGTACCAATGATTAAAAATACGTGTCGTTAAAACTCTTCAGATCATTTAGTTGTCATTAAAAGATTGTTTGTCCGGCCTGGAAAATCGAAATTAACTGCCATGGGGATTCGTTGCACTGACCACGCGACACCCTCTATCCGCAAAAGTTGGCACTAACTTCACAGACAAGAGGCGGTCGCTCGGTCGGTATGGTTCGCTTGCGGACTACAGGCCATGGAGTTCGTTTATATTTAAAACACGAAGGTAAATTAAGTAAAAATTGCAGTAAATTTTGAATCGCCAGATGGTAAAATCGACTCTCCTCAGGCAAATGGAAGAACTGGTTCTTTAGCCTGTGCTGATGAGAGTGTGCCTTTTTCTATGGGACTGGAGAACTGAATAGACTGAAGATAACAGTGAAAATCTCAGAAAAGCCGTCGGTGCCTAACGAATAGGAAACATGGATGCTGATCACGATTCCAAGGTGTTAGGAATGTAGCTACAAGAAAGAACTATCTAATTTCACAAATATATCCTTTCAACCGAAAAGTTTCTTCTATAAATATCACCGTACTTCTAATATGTAGAAGTTACTTGGTATTAAGGCCGCGCCATAGCTCAAGCGGTTAGTCGCTGGCTTCCTACCGCGGCGGCCCGGGTTCGATTTCGGGTTTGGTCAAGTAGGATTTGTGGTGGAAAAAGTGGCGCTGGGGCGGGTTTTCTTCTAGTACTTCGGTTTCCCCTGCCAATCTTCATTCCACCAAATTCACCATCTTAATAATCACCCGGAGCAGGCTACAATAGGCCGATCAGTAGCCGCCGTGCCGAGTGGATTCAGTTGGACTCCACCCCCCACTAAGCGAATTTAAAAAAAAATACAATTTTACTTCGTATTAGGAAGGGACGCATGCGCGGTTAGCACCAAATGAGAACGAAGGGGATGTCACAGGACACTCACAATCATGGGCTTCCAGCAAGATTGTGTGCACATTTTGAAAAACAAAGTAAACATTCAATTTCCACATTCGAGACCGAAGACAGTAAGTTCGCAATACAGGTTTGCTACCAAAAAGTGAATCCATACAGGAGCAAACTACAATTTGGAGGCATACTAGACTGCGTGGAGCACAGTCGCCTGATAATCGCCGAGTTACTCAAGAAATTCCGCGCCACCTACGGAACCACGACCACAAGAAGTTCTATCCCGAGCCACATGAATTCAGTCAACTGACGGGCACCCTGTTTAATACACATTTTAATGTTATCCCATCTGCGCTCAGGTCAACCAAGTAGTCTTTTCTCCTCAGAATTTTCGATCGCGTTTCCTTATTGATTTCCCGCCTCTCCCAATCTCCTCGAGTTGATCATCCTAATAACATTTCTTGAAGACTACAAATTATGAAACTCCTCCTGATGTAATTAACTCCATTCTCCTGTTACTTTCTCTTTCCTGGGCCCGTATATTCTCCCAGCACTCTGCTATGAAAACGTGCAACATGTACCTATCCTTTTATCTAACTAAGATGTGTTCCTTTGTTTCCAGGTTGGTGCTCGGAGGACGAAGAACGGCTTGTGAGAGATCTGTTCCGAGGGTACAACAAGCTGATCCGACCCGTGCAGAACATGACACAGAAAGTGGATGTTCGATTCGGTCTTGCCTTCGTTCAACTCATCAATGTGGTAAGTGCCTAAACCATGGGAAAACGTAACGCAAAACTGTATAGATGAAAACTCCCGTCCTTGCAAGCTATGTTGAATTAAACTAATTCATCCGGTTCATATCTTTACAAAACGTTCCCTAAACAATTTCTAGTATTATCCAACGATCTACGTTTATAACTTCCTAGTAGTGTTCTGTATTGGTGATTCTGCAGCTAAAATTTTGTATTAATTTATGTTTCTCCTACCTCACCACATACCTTGCTTATTTGGTCCTTCTTCCTCTAATCGCTTTGAAAATATTACGTGATAAGTACAAATTATCGGTTGCCTAGAAATGGTTGTTTTTTTCTGGCTTTACAATTCCTGCTTCCACCAAATATGCCACAGTAAAATGATAATTTTTCATATTCACGTGGCCTACATATTTCAACGTTCTGTCGTCATGCTCTTCAAAGATAAGCATCAGATTTCTCCGTCCATGAAAACTCTTGATGAGTGCACAAGTACTGCCTACTAAAATGCATGCATCAGACTAAAACGTCGAGACATTAAGATGTCCGGCTAAAATGGAAGTGTAGAACATGAAAAAGAAGTCGAATGGTAGAATAACGGAAAATAGAGAACAATGCCGAAACTGAAGGCAGACTCAACTCATATTTATAAATAATATTTCGTCATTACTTACTATACAGATCGGTTCCTGGAAATTTAAATAAATGAAATATTTCTTTAAAAATTTAAGGTGAGAACTTCTATAAAAGCTATAACCATTGGAAAGGGTCATCTTCTATCCCCACTTTCTGTAGAGACTGACGAGACAAGAGTTTTATGTGTGAATGTGTGGTTGTGGTCCTAGTGTTTCGATGTCGAACTTTGTGTACCATATTTACAGAAGCTAACAGATCTTCTCTGAATAGTTTTTACTGTACAGTATGTACAAATAGAAACTAATACATAATATACGTGTAGTATAGTCGGTTGAGACACTATGCTAGAAGCCGAAAGGTCGCGGTTTCGATTCCCGGTGAGGTCACTGGAAGTTTCAATTGATCTAATCCTTCCATCCGCATTATGGTCCTGGGCCGAACTGACCTCTAACAGAAATCAGTAGCAGGAATCTTCCTAGGAGATTGCCGACGCGTAAGCCTGGAATCTTTACATGACTGCCTCATGGGTCCTGATAATTGACCGATATTTGCAGGTGGCCGCAATTACCGTAATTTTCTTCTAAGACGTATAAGTGAATTATCAGAGGATGACTATTTCAGTAAGGATATTCACATGAGGTTTCAACACAACCGTGCTTCACCACGTTGCAGTCATGAAGTGCGTTAGTGGCCTTCGAAAATTAACTTAAACTTTAGACAGGTCGCGGACGAGAAGCTCACTTTTTCTGTCCTTCAAGTTCACCTGACTTAAATCATCTCGTTTTTTTTTTCGCTGTCTATTCATGTAAATTCGAAATTAGAGGTAAATGTGGTATCGGATTCAACAATTTGTAAGTGAAACAAAAATCACATGAAATCTTCGAAAAGCACATCTTCACTTATGTCAATATCCTGAAACTATTCTGTAAAATATGGTAGCAACGAGATTTCCCGTATACTTATGTAATAGTAGATGATTTATATTCGACTGTGTACGTATGTTTTATTCTTGGGATGTGGGGGCGTATTTACTTGCAGTATCTGACAGATGGGGTTAACTGTCCCCCACGACATATCACCTGACATTTCTGGGACTGTAAACTGCACGTGGATTAAAGGGCAAAAATGATGGACATTTTGTCTGAGAACAGCAGAAGAGAATATCAAAGTCAGTTACAGAGCTCTTAAGGCTAAGGGAAAAAATATTTGTACAAGGCGTCTATTACTTTATAAACAAAATTCCCGAATTTATTTTAAAAAGGAAAATAAGTGTATGTACACAGCAGTAATAGTACAGGTTGTTCGTATGAAAGGTATCCAAAATAAAAAATTTATATCTTGGAAAAAAATTGTCACACAAGTATCCAGTTTATGACATCGGAAAGAAGAATTCTTAAAGTTCTTTCCCATTTCCGGCCTACACGCATACGCCAACTGGTGACTTCGTCGAGCTTAGTAACGATGTCGACACCACAGGAACAAGACTGTAAATGGACATTCGTACTTAGACATACTGGACCTGTATGCCCTGCTCCAGTTACCACCTCAAACTATCCTCCAACAAGACGAGGCGCCGCCACATTTCTGCCACCATGTTAGGAATCACCTGGATGGCTGGGAGATGGATTGAGAGGTAGGCCAATGCTTGGCCTCCTAGTTCGCCAGATTTAACCCAATTGGGGTTCTCTTTGTGGGGTTATGTGGAGAACATTGTCTACCAGGTTAACATCAACTACCGTCAGCACCTGCAAGCCAGCATACAGGACGATGTGGCTGCGGTAACACCAAACATAATTCAAGCAACGTGGAACGAGGTCGAATATTGTTTGGATATTCGTCGCGCCCCAAAGGGAGACTACATTGAAATTTATTGAGAAAGTTATATATTCAGAACATTTTCCTTTTGTAATGTTGTAATCCATGAATGTGTAAAATGATTGCTTTTCGAGGTATAGATATTTTATTTTAGATATCATTCTTGCAGGCACTCTGTATATTCTTAGAGTTAAGAGATATATTGAAAAATCGCGGGGTGACCGCTGTGATAGAAAGAGATGTTTATAAAAGTGCTCTAGAGAGGGCCGGTTGGGCATAGCAGGGGCCATTATTACATATGAATTTATTTTGCCGAAATAGAAAAAATCATCTGTCAACACATATAAGATGGGAAAGGTGGGCAAATTTGTGTAAAATATTAAGAGACTTCTCGTTAAATTTTCAACTCATTTTTCATTATTAATACGTAAATGGATTTCAGTAGGTATGTAACGACAGTAAGGAGTATAAAAATTAAAATAAATTTTATAGCTAAACATACAAACGTGTAAAAAATAATATTTATTAATATTGTAATATAAAATAAGGAAGATACTGTGAGGCGTTATCTTACGTTCATCACCGCGACAACCGCTACAGCCGGAACGGACACCTCCACGACAACGAATAAGTGAAAATTGTGGGTTTCCCGCAGCGACAAATCATAGCAACGAATTGTTGTTGAGTAACAACGGATGAGACGAGACACGTTACCGGTATACACGTATTCTATAAGAAGCGTTCCCGTAACAACGGACTGTCTGAACAGCGTTAACGGAACCGTGAGGAACGGTGTCCAGTATCCGGTCCGCATAACCCCTATATAAGCAGAGCTTACGGCACGTACAGAGCACTGAGTATGGAGAACGAGACAATCTTGGGATAGCCGCAGCCAGAGATATTTGAGATCCAACCACGGCCAAGGATAGTTGAGACGTCTCATTGGAGTATTGGGCCAGAAGTCAAGTGATATTCAATTCAATTATTTATTATTAATGTGCCGAGTCAACAGCCGCAAGGCCAATTACAGACACAGCACAGTGCAGATGAATGAATTACATTATAGACAAACTTATTAAAAGTCAAATACAAATTACAAGTAAGTACTTGGAAGAAATAATAATGAATAAAAGTAAAAGTAAACAAACAAATAGCTGATAATTATGACAGTAATAGTAATTTCATTATCATTAAACTAAGTGTTATTACGAATTGAGGAATTAAACATAAATATTTAATTAAGAAATGAATAGTATAGATTTTCAGAGGATAATAATAATATACGTAATTCATTTTGTTCTACTGGACATGCAAATAATTAAAATACTAACAGTTATACTATATTTAAAATTTGTTTGGGTAGAACATTCCTGGCTCCGAATACGTCAACATCCCTGCAGACAGCATTAGCAGCTGCTGCGCATCTGGCAGAGGGACAATTTTTAAAGAAGGAGCAAACATTGAACAATGCAAAATCTCTGATATACCGAGCAGGAACTCGGAGACCAACAATTTCCAGGACAGAAAGGCAGAATTTAGAATATTGCAAGTGATAATAATTGTAAGGTGTGTAAGTGTGAGTGTTCAATAAAGATCCGCTAAATCCGAGACCCACGTGAAGTTATTTGTCGCGTGACGTACCCAACACGTGACAATATTTATATGTTCATGTAGGTATCGCATGAGTAACAAACGTTTTGTGGATGCAACAATCTACTGTAAACCTGAGCGTTTGCTCATGTGTGGGATATTGTGCAGGATCATATCCATATGTCGAAACATATGGGATATGTGGTTATAATTAGTTAATATTGTACATGATGGTTGAGAGAATAAATTGGATTTTACTTGCAAACTTATTCGGACATACACATTTATCCTAGTGACAGGTATTCTTTCGCTTTCTTAAATAATTAAGAACCGTACTGAATTGACAGAAGATAGAGAAAATGCGGTTATTTGCGCAAAGTTTTTAATCAAGTTTTTGGCTTGAGAAACGCAAACTGCCTATCGTTTCAATTTGAATGAACCATACCTACAATAAGGATGTTCACTGTACGTAAATACACGGATTGCTTCATGGAAAACAGGAAGCTCCTTTTCGGGTAGAAAATTATAAAGGTGAGTGACGTTGTTTTCATTTTATTTGTGTTGTACATGGTTCGTGCTAGAAAATCCCGATTAAAAGGGAAAATTGAGGCGCCAAGTTTTTAATAATTTATCTTTGTTCAACTACCGACTTGAAGCCCCAAATGCATGAGGCTTATAAGAAAACAATACTTTATTCATGACACCTAGAGCAGAGAGGTGGTGTTCATTGTCGGCTGCTTAGAGAGACGGTCTGAGTAGTTACTTGTTGGCAGCAGTGGGGTGAGACTGAGTCTTCTGGTACCGCTGCCTCAAATGGGACTATTGTGTCAGTCCCTGATGATAGATGAGCATGGAACACTGGTGGAACGGCAGGGTAAATCGAAGTAAACAGGGAAAATCCTACTTCGTTGTTACTTTGTCCTCTACAAATCCCACGTGGACTAACCCTGAAACTGACGCCGCGTC